TGCAAGCCTACTCGCACAACTAGGTCTAGGCCCGCAAGACACCCGCACCACATCCAGGAGGGCCCAAGAAAGTAAATGCACTCCAGGATCTTTCATACGCGTACAGGATCAACAAGAGCCTTCAACAAGATCTGGTTGACCGTGAAAATTAGGATAAGCCTTTTGTATTAATTTGTAATATGTGTAATCCCTGATTTTTAGGAGATATTGTAATTCCATGATTTTAGGGCTTAGCCATAAGTGTAGTTGAGAGCATCAACTATAAATAGAAGGTCACTTTACCCTCCTTTGTACATCATCATATACTTTGCTTCAGTAATATATAGTACATATTCTAATAATTCTCTTATTCTCTTATTTTTTCAAACTTACGTATTTTGTCCTTCCAGTTATTCTAATACCCGCACGCTTGTGTTTTAGGTTGACTTAGGCTAGAAGGAGGTGATTCTAAGCCTAAGGCTGCACGGATTCTGAGTCTTAGGTTAGAGCTCGTGATACTTATGCTAATTATTATAACCCGTTAGCAAGGCCATATAATTATGTCTATACTAACTATTATAACTTGTTAACCAGGGTCATAAAACTAGCTCTGGTATCGATTATCCCACTTTTCAATGATGTAAAAACACAGCTATCATTAAATCGTTCCTTAAAATATAAATTATTTTTTTATTCATAAGTATGATCCATCATTTACATAACAAAACACCAAATAATCAAATACTTGATCTTATTTTTATATATAAAAAATATTCACTTATTTAAAACATACATATATACATAGTTTCGAAAACAAGCAAAACATGTGAGATTTTACTTATCTCCTTTCAATTTCACCACTTAATTTTTCTTTAAAATAACTCACGGCCTATTCAAGATCATTTTAACATATAAAAAATTAATTAACCATTTTTTAGATCATTTATACTAAAATCAACTAAGTTACACAAGTGTTAACTTAAGTAACTAATTATGATAATTTGAGCTCTTTTCACTAAAATGTCATATCTTAATATATCCAACTCAGAATTAAGATATTTTTAATGTGCTAGAAACTAAACTTGATAAACTTTCTAACAATATATGACCCATCTCATAATTCTTTATAATTAATTATAATAATTTTGCAATCCACGTTATTTGCTACTATCAGACAGTTTGTATACATTCTAATAAAAATTATATATTTATTTATAAGAGACTCCAAATTCAATTCCACTTGTTTCATTATAAAGTAGATTTAATATAATAATATTTTGTCTAAAAACAAAATTCTCTTTCAACCTTTAGAAATCCAAATTCTCACTTTCAACCTTTAAAATTCATTTAATAATCATCATTAAATCAATAATTTAATAATCATGAAGATTAATGAAAGATTTCATTATTTTTTTAGTTTTTCTCTCAAAACTTTAACTCCTAACAACTAAAATTGTATTTTTTTAATAATAAAGAATATATATTCACTTTTAAAAGATTAAACTAATTGTAATCTCTAATTTTCGATCTCTAATTTTATTTTTTATACTCTTTAATCCTAAAAAATATAAAGAAAAAAAACTTTATTTTTATTTTCTATTTTACAGTAGCTAGTTTCTCTTTCATATAAACCTCAATTATTTTTTATTTATTAATTAATTTTTTAATAAATTGATGGACTAATAATAGTCTATTATCATTTGGATACTGTCCTTCCTTGCTTGACTGCCTTTTCACACTCATACTAGGAGAGGAGTCAAAGAATGAACTCTTTACTGAGCTATTGCATAAGAGAGAGCAGAGCTCCTTCTTGAGTATGAGATATCCTCCCACATCCGATTATGGTCCATCTACTTCTTCCTCTATTGATGAATGTGCTATATGCTTAACGCAGGGAAGTCGGACTCTAGAAATTCCTTTTCACTGGGAACAACTCCTGGCTCGTTAGAACCAGACTTTGTTCAAACGATGAAGAAGTGGGCAGACAGGGGTAGGAGGCCTCGGGACTTTAACGTCAGCGATATGGTGCTGGTGAAGCAAATCCGCAACCCGCGGCGCCAGAAGATCTCACTCCTTTCCGCCGGGACGTGTACGCAAAAGTGGGGGTCTTCCTGTCGGCTGGGGTGTTACAGTTAGATTCCAAATTCACATATAAAAATTGAACCTTCTTATAAATCAGATAAAGTTATGCTTATTCATCGATCAAATATAATACAGTTGACACCAAAAAGTAATATTTACAAAGAATCACAATCACAACAACAAAAAAAAAAAAATTATTCCAACAATCTCAAGATCCAGCAAGAATTATCTATAAGTTTGGATTGACCAGCATCATAATAGTAAAAATGCTCATTCAGGTTTCTTATAAATTTCATTCATTTCTTCCTCTTTCTTTCGGTTCTTTATAAATTTCATTCATTTTTTCCTCGTTATTTCGGATTTCATATCCAGCACGAATCCTTTCGTGTGGATCATCTGAATTCAATAGAGCTCTAAAATTCGCAATTCCCTTCTGTATGCTCTGAACCTGATATATGCACAACAAAAACATAAAGTAAACAAAGAACGGTAGTATTTAAATTGTGGAGAGAAGAATCATAGAAAGCTAAAGCAATGAAAACCGACCTTCCTAAAAGGCCATCTTTTTCCTGCGCCAACCTTTTTGAGCCATATGTTATGGATCACTGTTTCAGAAAATCCCAGTATCTCGGCTGCTTCCTTTCTAGTAAGATGAAAAAAATTTGATAAATCTTTGAAGGTGATCTCCTTGGCTCTCTTTCTCTGCATTATTGCACCCCCAATAAGAAAAATAACCAAGTTAGAGGATAGAATACAAACATAGCCGCCAGATTCATTGAAATGCAATCATTTTCAAATTCAATCAATCCTGCCCAGACGCTCTGACTGAAATAGGAATCTAAGGCCAAAATTGTAGATTTACTTTAGTCTCAATTTGGGATCCTTTAATGGGGTCATAGACAGTAGCTACTACCTGCTCTTTCAGGTCATGAGACTTCTGTTTGTGATTGCTGTTCGTAGCTTCATTAGAGCCATTAGCTACAACCTGTTCTGCCTGGGAGATAGGAGACATGTCTTGGTTGTTACTGTCGTTCGCAGCTTCAATAATCTGAATGTCCCCTGCAAAAATTTAGACAAATTCCAACAAACTGTTACTTTATGACAAACCATCGATGTGGAAATGGGGAAATCAACCCTGGGTTTTTCCTTCTATATAAATCATTGTATTTAGTAAATGATCTGCTCAGGATTGAGTCCGCAATTAGAAGAAGCCGGATGTTGAAATTAAACTACTCCGCAATTCACATGTTCATAGTTAGAAGATACCTGGATGTGGTGTCAATGTTATCTCTGTGTAGTCAGCATCAGGCAGATTTTCATACCAATCAAGCCCTATGCATAGTGCTTCATAGAAAGTTGAGCGCGGATCCTTAATCATGATGTATCCCTCTTGCCTGCGCTTGCTGCAATATTGAGTCAGAAACTGCTTCACCTCCTCAAATTCTTTTTGGCAGAAACTATTGAAAGAAAATCAAAATGAGTTCTATAACTCAGTCCTCGAGATTCTAACCAAGTTATAATCACAAATAAGAAAATAAAAAAAGAAACAAGAAAGTGGACATAAGAAATGAACATTAAACTTACTCGAACATTTCATGACGAACTGCTTTAGTACTAAGTTTTACATCAAGAATAGCATGAAAGAAAATTCCAAGTAATCTTCCATGAATCTGAAGTTTCATAACAACAGGACCTATCATGATAGAAACGAAATATCACCACCAAAAAAAAAAAAATTAACGTAATAAGAATATATTCCGTTTCAAGTAATAATAACTTGAAACGCACCCTTAATATGAATAATTTCTCTCAACACATCGCAAGAACTACAATCTACTGGGACTGGTTCGCTTGTTCTAACAGAATGTTGCTTTTGTGTTCCCACATTTTTCTCCCTCCGATTACCATTTTCCTCATAAGTCTTCGAAGAACTACCTTGAGAATTCGCCTCACAGAACCCATTAAACATACCCCCTGAAATGATTGTTTTCTGTAAAGGATCAATGGCTAAAGAGGGAAATGAAAAGAATTCATCAACAGTTAACGCCTCTTGAATAGGAAGATTCGTGCTGTTTAGACTTCCATTTCCCAAATTTGTCTCTCCTTGGTTACTCATTTCCACATTAGTCATCTTTGAAGGACCCGAATGAGAAGACTCAGGAACTGGATTTTCGGGTTCCTGAATAGCGAAGTACTCAGGAGTAGGAATATTCATGTTGTTTAATCTTTGATTTTCCAAGTTTGTTTCTATTCGAGTACTCGTTTCACCATTAATCCCAAGAGGACCCACTTGAGAATACAAACCACTAGACTCGTCATATAAAGCCCAAAAGTCCATATTCTCTATAGTTTCAATATCAATAATTTCCTTGCACTTCTCACTAGACTGAGGAACTAAAGGAGAGTCAGCAAGAAGAGCAGGATTCAAGTTGTCCACGATATTAATAGAGTAATCTGTATATGGGTTGTAATAAGGATCATCATGATAGGGAACAGTGAAATTTGGATCCGCCATGCCCCGACGAATTGTGTTAATTTATTAGTCTAAATCTCAATTTCTTTGGCGGAAGATGGGACCTTTGTCCTTTGGGGTTAATTTGGCCTTGATTGGTGGTGGCGCCTGAAATGGAAGCGCCACCATGTGAGAGGCCTCAGGAGACAGAGCCACAAATCGACACTGAGAACCGCTGTTGCAAATTGTTTTAGCCTTATGTAAGTACATAAATCAACTGGAAAGGGCGCGAGAAGGCACTTAATGACCATTGTGAAACGAGGAAACGGTTGGTTGTTGGGACATGGTATTTTCTTGAAACGTTGTTAGCGAGCCATGATCAAGTGATCCCATCTTCACTATAAGAGCCTAAGCCATTAAAATCAACTAATCAAGAACGGATCATATCTAGCCATTAACACGACATCGTTTGATATCAAATTGACGAAAAACTCTTGTATGATCAAAATTAAAAAAAAAGACCCAAATGCAAAAATCGAGCTCCAGGGGGCAGAAAGTGAAATCAGATGAAGTCAGCGGTATCATCACTAGTTAGCTCCAAGAATCAAAGTCATTCTGCAATCTCACGCCCCATTCTGCAACACTCATCGAAACCCATTTCTCAAACAACATTCTTCATTCCAACCATTCCCAGAAACACCAAAAATCTATATAGTCAACGTTACAAAAAACTCCAAATCAGGCCCAACTCGACATCCGTAATGGCATCATCTTTCAAGCCTGAACAAGCCAGCGTACCACCTGCCCTCCCTCTTCCCACCCCTCCTGTCACCAAGGCAAGCTCTTTTTCTTTATTTACTGTCTTTTTTGTTGTTGTTTTAGTTGGGTGTTTGTTAAAGTGGTTCTGTTTTGGGTTGTTGTTATAGTTCAACATTGGGCTTTGCCAGTTGTCGGTGACACCTGATAAAGGGAGGAACATAGGGCGTGCTCGGAAGGCCATCGAGGAGGCTGCTCAAAAGGGTGCCCAGCTTGTTCTTTTGCCGGTGAGTTTTGTTCTTGTCCTTGTCTCAAGGTTTCATCTTTTCCGATGTTCAACTGAGGGCTTTTTTGTTAGGCAACAGTTTTTGCAAAATTAAGCTTGGTTGTATCGAATTCGTGGCTTGAAAAAATAGAAATTGTGTTGCTTGGTGGATCTTAGAAAATTGTGGAAACCAGATGTAGGAAATTTTAGACTACTTAATTTTTTTCAATAGACATGGATACTTTATGGATCGATCTTGCTACTCAGACAGACAAATCATGAATGTTGATCACGCGATTTAGCTAAAGCCTAATGTTTTTTCATTATTTTTTGTGAAAATGAAACTGAAGATTTTCACCTTTCAGTTTGACGAGCCAAGTATATGGTGGAATATAAACCTCATTGCTGTTCCATGAAATGGTGGTTTTGGTGTTCACAAATTACATGTAATAGATTTTGCAAGCAAGATTTTAAAATTATGAATATGATATCGTAGCATCAATTTAAGGCCTTCCATTCCTGTCTGTTATTTTGTATCAGGAAATATGGAACAGCCCATATTCAAATGACAGCTTCCCTGTTTATGCTGAAGATATTGACGCAGGTGGTGATGCATCTCCTTCAACAGCTATGCTGTCTGAAGTTTCTAGTCGCCTGAAGATCACAATAGTTGGTGGCTCTATACCTGAACGCTGTGGGGATAAGTTGTATAATACTTGTTGTGTCTTTGGTACTGATGGAAAGCTGAAAGCCAAGCACCGCAAGGTAGAGGCACTTCCTATCCCATATGGTAGTACAAGGAAAGTGCCAATTTTGCGCATTATTTGTGTGTGGCCAGACTTGGCAAAGAACTGCATTCCTGGGCCATCCGTTATTTGATGTCAATTAGGTAGAATGATTTTACTATTGTACAACATCTGCCATCACCTGTATATAAGCTTATACATAGACACATATTACTAGATGATTCAGCCATCTAATATATCAGTTGTCATTATTTTGTGGACGAATTTTTGTTTTGAACCATTAAAACCTTGATGCCTTTTGGAAGAAAATGATCATTGGTATTAAGTTTTATTTATCTTTAGAATTTGCCACTACTTATTTGTATACAAACGCGAAATTCCTGATCTTAGATACCAACTTGGCAGCTTACTTTAGACAATTCTATAGTTTTACTGATATCATTTTGAAGACGCACTTTGAAGCTGGAGTGCATAATATTTATGAATTCCTGTGGAATTGCAGATTCACCTTTTTGATATTGATATTCCTGGGAAGATTACCTTTATGGAATCGAAGACCCTTACTGCTGGGGAGACTCCTACCATTGTGGACACAGGTTTGATGTTTCCCTAGACTTTGCATGCATAAACATATTACCCTGTCGATAATTTTTGTTAGAAGCATTTTCTAAACCATATATTGTAAATCATCTCTTCTCTGTCATGGGTTACATCTGCACCATTATTGTGATAAATTGATATTTAAAATAGAATCAGATTTCTCTGACAACTAATTCCTTTGGGCAGTTGAATACACTATTTGAGTAATTTTCTAAGTGGTAAACTAATCATCAATAGTTCATGCAGATGTTGGGCGTATTGGTATAGGCATCTGTTATGACATTCGCTTTCAGGAATTGGCGATGATATATGCAGCAAGAGGTTTGTTTACTTCTCCAGTGAACCATGATACAATTAATTTCATTTTTAGTTGGATTTTGTTGGCTGATGAACACTATTATTGTTTCCTAACTGATAAATAATTTTGCAAGTGTGGAGAATTTTTGTGATAACCTACTTCTTGTGTTCTTTTCTTTACTCCAAATCCTTATTTTAATTATTAGATGATATCATTTCTTCCTGAATTCTTTATGCCAAATTTCCTACATCTAATGATTCCTTTTATTCCCATAATTCACTAGCATTTATATGTTTTATATTGTGGTTTGGATCTTTTCAATTGTTTTCCCTTTCTGATATTTACAAGTTCTGTTCATGTTGATTTTAATTCTTTTTTTTTTTTTGAAGTTATTGTATTGCCCATCTTATTTATGAATTTTTTTGAACTATGTCTGTGTTGTGTTGTTGAAATTAGGTGCTCACTTGCTATGTTATCCTGGAGCATTTAACATGACAACCGGACCATTGCATTGGGAATTGCTGCAGCGAGCAAGGTGCTAGTTATTTCCCTGCTTTCACTCTCCTTGTTAATTCTTTAAATTTCACTGGAAAGGTTGAAAGAAATAAGGTAGGCTGGGGAAGGGATGCAGTACCTGCAGGGAGCAATGTAAAGTCCATGTTACAGTTCTTTTGGCCTCATATCCTTACAGGGATGGTTCCTTGTTTTGTTTTTTGTCTGGACGTCATAGTGCAGTTAAAGTGACTGAAATATGCAGAAATTTTGTTGCTTTGACTATAGCTGAATGCTGAACTACTAGTTTTGAGGTGTTAGGTTTGATTTTAAACACACATTCTTTACTTGTAAAGAACTCTGTACTCATTAGTTCTTTTGACAATGAGCCTTACACTACGAGCTGAATTTGCTTTGCCAAGAAACAAATGAATTTATTTGATAAATTGGAATTATCATGTTTGATCATCCGGTTTGTCCTCTGGATTTGCCCTTTTTTGCTTGAACATCCAACCTTCCCCTAACCTGAAGGGAACTGCCTTATTGGATGATTTAGTAAGCTAAATGTTATTTTGCCATGTAGGAGAGTGTAATTTATGCTTTTTGTGTCTGTATGATAGTTGTTCATCTTTTAATGTGATTCTTGTTGTTCCATATGCAGGGCTATGGATAATCAGGTATAGTAGCGAAATTTTTCCCTTTCTTCAATTGACTGGTGTAAAGAATTTCACAGGACTTATAATTAGCATACTGTAATGTTTGGTTTAGTAAGAAATGGTGCTAGTACCATTGAAACAGATGAAAATTATGTAGATTCTATCATTCTATAGGCAAAACTAGAATGCAGTCAGTATTTGGTAAGTTTAGCATGTTGCAGTCTGATGCTGTTCCAGTTGAGTGGCACAGACTGGGTGCCTTATTTCCTTCTTATGTCTTATTAAGCTTCGAACACTACTTGTTTATAGTTCATGCTCTGATGTCGCCATAGATACTGGATGGTGAAAGTGGAGTAGATTCATCAGAACTGGAGACTTGAGACCATTAAGAGCTCTTTGCTGCCTAGAATATGGATGTCTGATTGCTCATAAAAGGTTTCTGTTTTATGTTTATTTTTCTAACAAAATTTTAAATGACAGTTATATGTTGCAACTTGTTCACCTGCTCGAGATGCTGGAGCCGGTTATGTGGCTTGGGGTCACTCAACCCTTGTAGGACCTGTAAGTAGATGCTTGTTTTTTAGCTCTCGTGTATTAACCAAATACGGCTTTGCTCCTATAATACATGTGGAAAGCAAGAACTCCTGAATCTTTTGTGTTTTGAAGACTTTTGAGTAGACAAGCCCATACTTAAATTTTTGCATGTAACAGTTCGGAGAAGTCCTAGCTACAACTGAACATGATGAGGACATAATTATAGCAGAGATTGATTATTCGATACTTGAGCACCGAAGGTGACGTGGCTTCCACCTAATATTTGTTCTATGCATGTCAAATGCTTACGGAATTGTTTATTTTATCATACTTTCTACTCATTTTAATTGGGTGCTTGTATGAAATTTAGGGCAAGTCTTCCCTTTGCAAAGCAACGGCGAGGTGATCTTTATCAGTTGGTAGACTTGCAGAGACTCAACTCGAATTGATTAGAATAGAGAACCTTGTGAGAGAGCTGTGATACATGGTGAGAAATTTCATTGAGAAAGGTAGAACTCCATTAAAAATTATGGGACTGTTCTAGTCCTTTACTCAGTTAAGGAAACTCACTCAATGGTTAACGAGAATTTTATCATTCGGATGATTGCTGGAAACTCGTTTTTGCACAATAATGGGATTTGTTACTGTTTTCATGTTTGTAATTCCTAATTTAGACGGCCTTCCTTACAACCCTCTGACTTGGATGGTTGGATATGAGAATATACACTTATCTATTGCATAATTTTGCGTCTAGGACACTTGAAAGAACAGTTCCGAAGTATTCAGAGAAATGATAATTTTATATATGATAAAAAAATATATACGAGAGTTCGATAAAAACAAAAAAATATATTTTGTATTTGGTATATTGTTATGAATTGTAATATAATAATATTCATGTTTTTTATGTATTTAACATGAAATAAATATGATATTTATACATATGATAACATCGATTGTTTTGCTGAAAACATGACATCATTATCCTACAATATTCCTCTAGAAATGAATGCTACTCAAGAGTTTGGTTCAGGAGTAGCTACTGGAAGGATTACTCAAGTTTTGGAAATAAATTACCCAGAATAGCATTTAGATAATCTCTAAGTTCAAGTGGATATGGATGGAGATAAAAAAAAAAAAAAAAAAGTGAGGTTGGCAGAATCGTAAGAAAGACTCGGCGGCATCTTTGCTTATACAAGGATTACAGCATTATTTCCAATTTGGAGTCAGTTTCACCCTGAAGTAGGCTTGGAAATGACGTGTTTCTATCAAGCTTTCCATACAAAGCAAGTTCCCAAATTCCCCACTCTGTTCCACTTGGACAAGAAAAGCTGTAGTTTGAAACCCAACGGCCACCGTCCAATACGAATCTTAATCAAGTCAAATTATTTTTTTTCTTGTGCCGGATATCATTTTCAATTTTTTTACTCTTGATTTATCAATTATTATGGTTGAATGGACAAATTAAATCCTGTGGATAGATACCACAAAACAGTGGGTCTAACCTAACAAGTACCATACATAGCCAGAAAATGTATTAAACAGCTAGACCTACTAAGCTTGGAGACATGAAATTGAAGAAGACGACGACCTGGATCAATTCACTCTCCATTCACATGGCTATTCTGCTTGGGACGGCACCAAAAATGTGGCTGTCTCCTACTTCTGAATAGTAATTGCGACAGTGTCTCCCATCACAACCTTTGGCCTTAAGCCAAAACCCAGCAGCCAGCACTGTCAAAGAGAAAGATAACTAATTCCAAACCTTATAAAAAGAAAAAAGCATCTGACAACCTAATTTGACCTTCAAAAGAATCGAAACAATCACCCCAAACAGACGCTTATCATTGAATCATTTACCCTTTTGCATAGATATACGGAAGGATGGTAGTCTAATTCGTTTTCGACGAATTTTGGTTCAGTTTAATTTTTAAAAATTATTTTTTTAAAATTAAATTTTAAATTAAATTAAATTAAATAATAATAAAAAAATTAAAATTAAATTTTAAGTAAATTTAATCTAATATATAATTATTTTCAAATCAAACATAATTTATATAATATCGAATTAAATAAAATTTAAATATTATAAATATAAAATTAAATCAATTTTTGATGGATCGATCCGTTACGATCCCTAGACATATGTAATGGTTTTTGCAGATTATGTCCATTCAAGACATTTGCCTTTTCATCAGATTGTGATTGTCTGCTGGTCTGGTTGCAACTCATCTTAGCCGAAAAAAACAAAAAAAATTAGATCAGATCATTCTTATATTTGTGTTGCGTCTAATTTTTTTTTTATCAAACATTATAAAAACAAAATAATTATTTTGTTATAATTTTTATATATACATCAAATATAAAATATTTTTTAATTTTTATCGAATATATAATTTTTACTAAAATTTTAAATCCTATTCATCTACTATTTGTATAAAACAAAAGAGTCTTTACTCCATCAATATTCTGTAAATTCCATGAAACCCAAGTGACCATTGACTAACAAAAAAGTTATCTAATCAGCACAAAAATTAACTTCTTCATGAACATGATGTATTTGACAATTCCAATAACTCCTACAAATATGAATTACGTTAAAATGAGACCCTAAGTTAACAACTCGAAATTTGTACTAAATAAACCTATATTTGTCCCCTAAAATGCGTAAAAATTAATGTAAAGTCATGGGAAATTTAAAAAAAAGAAAAAAAAAAAAAAGAGTTGGCTATTCAATTAAATGACCTCACTCTTTTGATGATTATCCTCCAGCCATTTTCGTACTCCTACATACAAATTAATTAAGAAACTAAGAGAAGCAACAGCGATGACAGAGGCGTACGCACGTGACGACTGAGACCCCAAACCCAGAGAAAATACAAAGCAGGCTAGCCATCTCATGCACCGCACGTGGATGCACCATGTCCGATTGCAATTCTTTAATAATGATAATGATTCGATTTAGTTTGTTTTGATCTTAAAAAAATCGATTAATATAAAGTATTTTAGTTTTTTAAAAACTCGAACAGAAATTGAATCGAATAATTTTAATAATCCAATCCATTCAAATGAAATTAATTGGTTAATATCACTTTAGTTTTTTATTTTTAAAATTTAAAGATTTTTTAGATTTTTTAGTTTTATTTTTTAAAAATAAATTTTATTTTTTAAATAAAAAATCATATAAAGACTAATAAATAAACATATTTCAATTGGAATAATTTTGAGTTTCTATTTCATAAACTAAAAATTTAATCTAATCGAATAAATGCATTCGAGTTTCAATTTCCATTATCTCGGTTTTTTCTTTTTTTTCTTAGCTCTATCAAACAAAGCAAAGATCCCAAAACGCTATTAAAACTTTCGTCTTATTTGCTTCGTTGGAAAACAACAGAGTTCCTTTCTTCATCACCAAATAGACTAACAAAGCTTCCAATCCACTCTCCACCTTCGCATCCTCACCATGATGTGGAGGTGATCAGATTGACCATGGACAACAGCAAGCGATTGTGAGATCTTGTCCACGTGAAAAACCTGTGAGGGTAGAGCCAGGTTGTATCGTTGTGCTTGTAGGGTTGCAAAGTGATGAGGTAAAATCAATGTGTGGCCATGCCACGTCATGTGGTAGTCAGCTGAGGAGGCAACTTCAGGTTGGACCGACCCTACGAAGTCTATGTCCCCTTGTGATTAGACGTTACATATCTAGTTTGGGCCTTTCGGGGCCCAATTTTTCATCTTCTGCTCCCCTGCCCCCCGCCCCCCCAAATCACCCGACTTATTTCATTTACTTATTCCACACTTCCTCATATTTTCTACACTTACGCTGTATTGTCAATTTCCCTTTTTTTAAGGGACTGAACCCATTACCTGTTTTGAATTCAACTCTTTCAATCGACAAACCCAACTCTTTTTCAAATGAATTGTTTCATATATTTTATTTTATTACTATTGTTATTACAATTACTTTGTATTTTAATTTGATCAAATTTTAATCATTAAATTAAAAATTAAAATTACATTATAATAAAAAAATGTTATACATTTTTTATGTTAATAAGAAATTGAAAATTAATGTCTTAGAGCCATATCTTTTAACAATTTCTCTAAGTAGATCTTGGAAGGCTTTATAATAAAGAAGAAATCTCAATAAAGAAAATTTTATAATATATTATTTATTTATTTGTTTGTTTTAAGAATAATGATACTTTCAATTTACTACTGTAACAACATGTGCTCATTGTTCAATTAGTTTGCTAATAATGATTAGAACAAAAATTATAATTTAATTTGATTGATTTATATAATAATTTTAATATTTAAATTTTGAATTTAATATTTATAATTTTTTTATCCTCATATTACAACTTCCGATGTAAAAAAAAAATTAAAGATTAAGATGAAATCAAGTTTTGAAAATAAAAATAAAACTATTTATTAGTTTTTTTATTTGCTAAAAATATAAATATTGAAAATTGAACCCTAGGGAATCGGCGTGGAACAGGGCGGGTCCAGTGCTACTGGCCCAGTGCCCATTCAGATAGAGACTTTTATAAGCGTGGCACCAGACAATTGGTGGAACATCTTCCAACATGGCGAAACTAAACCTTAATGAGCTCTTGACGTGGGGGTCCGAAGAGGGAAACCCAGAAAGCGAGAGAGTAGTACCCTTAAAAGAGCAGGTGTCAGAGGCAGTCTCAGATGCCATTGGAAAGATACAGTGGAAATAATTCATAGAATGATAAAATAATTATATTTATTTAATTATATATTTTATTAAATATTTTAATTTAAAATATTAATTTAATAAAAATATTATATTTATATATAATTAAAATATGATTTTATATTTCAAATAATATTTTATAATATTATATTAAATTAAATTTTAAATTAATTTTAAATAATATAAAATTAATTATAATTTAAAAATATATAAATCAAATCAAATCAAATAATATTTTAATACCAAATCCAATCAAATTCAAATATAAATATTAAGGTATCACATCGAAATAATATCAAACAAAAACTTATCCCATCTTAATCCTTTGGCATTATTCTTTAGGTGCCTTGGAAATGGTCCCCACATTTTCCCCAATACCAATGGCCAACTTTATTGCCCCACCAGAACAGCGCTGGATGCCATATCAGCCGTTAATTATTGACGCCCGTGCAAAGATTATGGCATTGGCTGTTTCTGCTCATATTGGACCCTACATTTTAAGGGGGAAAAAAATCAGCGGACAGTCCGTACTTTTTGCTTGCTCTTAACACCCTTTAGCAGCCCAATTACTAACCCCTTAAATATGTCAGAAATTTACTTGTTCCACAAATTGACAAAATTGTTACATTCAAAAAAGAGAAAAAAAATTGTATGACGACAGATTGAATAATTACTAAAGTCATTGGTATTTTAATCTCATGTTTTATCATTAATGATATGTTGCAGGGAAAATAATTTTCATTTTTAATAATCAAATATGATTTTATAAGTAAAAGACATCTTTTCTTTATGAAGATGTCTTTTTTTTTTTTTTTTTGAGTCCAAATCATGAGTGCATCAATATGTTTCTTCTTGGTGTTATCAAGTAAGCATATGCATCCCTAACCTAAATTTGAAGTAATTTTTTTTTGGGTGTTTATCACCAAAATATAAAAAGAATGAAATTAAATCTCAGTTCGGAAAGACACCAAAGTTTTGAGATGGGTTACCTTAAAAAGTTGAGATTTAATGGGACTTTGGTTGAAGAGAAGGATGGGACCAACATACTGTAGCCGTGGGTCGCTCAACAGGAAAATAAAGGCACGATGGGGCTGTCCAAGGTGCCATTCAAGCTCAAGTTCAATGGGAAATTGCCCTGGGATATAGCGTTTTGTTGGTAAGCAGGTGCAATGCCGCACGGGGCATCATGCATATATATATGGGCAATCCAAAACTTTATTCTTACTCAGGCCCTACCTTAGTAGTAATTATTTAATCTCTCAACCAGATCTATTAGCACCAGATATTGAAAGTACTCATCGATCATTGTCTAATTGCCGGTGAAATCCACCTTGCAATGTACCTTACCTTACCTCTCTAATTCAAAGTAACTGATGAGAGATATACTGCTGAAACCAATTGAAGAGACCAGATCACTGACCTTTCTGCATCACTCGCCCTTTTTTCCTACCCCAAAGGGCACAGATCGGGTTACAGATGTTGCATCCATGATAGCTTATGTCCTGCAAATGGATGTACATGAGCAAACCAGAAAACTGGAAAACATGTGATCTTGACAGGGATTATTGAGGCACACACCTTGTTCAATCACCCTATAAACTTAAGCCATCCTTTTCAGCATCCTTAATGATGTTGCTGGTTAATATATACTAATGTTTTCTCAAGGTTTTTGGAGAAGCAACTAGATCATGTCTCGATCGCGTTTGCTGACTAGTTTAACATAACTTTTGCATATAGTCTTGCATGTGATGTCTACAGCCTCCTTCAAATTTCGTCCACATGCATGGTTCATAGTTGTTAGATTGGTGGATTCAATTGATACCCATCTGATTATTTATGTAAAGTCACTTTCATTAATTATACAGGGATTAGATGAGGACAGGGAGAGTTGTTTTTCTTGCCGCTTATCTTCTTGGACTACATTTTTACCATCTACGAGTAGTAATTAATTTTTTTTTTATCTAAATGCTATACTAACCATGCTATAAATTCTTCTCTAAAACTCGAACTCCCAATTATATAATATGCAAAGATGAAGTCCCACCATGCATATCCTAAGCTATCAACATTTAATTTTTACGAGACAATTTCATTGACATTGAGGAGATAATGTATTAAAATTCATGACGTATATTTGAATGAGTGATAAGATTAAAAGTAAATGTTGTGAAATTAATTATTGTCATAAGATTAAAATTAATAAAAAATATACATGTTTAAATGCACATAATAAAATCAATAATGTTTTCCATCACAGTTTTAAAAAAAAATATATTGATATGATGGAATGAGTTTTAGCTTTGGATTAGCTAAAAACATGTGGCCGGAAGAGAACAGAGAAAAACACAGTTTTGTCCTAATCAAAATAATGTGACTTACACTTAACTACATGATCAGACTGAAATGGCTTAAATCATCAAATCATGTCAAAGAAAATAATGCAATTTGCTTTTGTGAAGTAGGGGCACTTTCAGAGATGATTCCAGCACATTTCAAGAACTGGGTCATGCCATGTGTTAGAATCCTTTTTAGACCGTATATTGACTGCACCCTTTTTGAGTAGAAGAAAAGCATCTAGCCTAGGACAGAAGTGGAGAAATGGACACCCCAAAAAAAAGAAAAAAAATAAAAAAAAATTATCCTCTCCTCTGTTTCAATTTTCAAAACATAGTTAATCAGAGCTTCAAAATAAACAAATGAATTACGCTCCTGGGTGAAAATTTCATGATTAAAGAACACAATTACAGGCTCCCCTCTGTTAATTACCCACGGTTGAAAGCGTAGCTTTCTTTTTTCATGATTAAAGGTGATCTTTCATCCGCTCGTTTTACAAACTTTTTAACTATCATTTCTAGTTTTTGGTAACGGAGCTCGTATCACTTTGAAATTCAAAAGATTCACACCCAATCCAAGCCAGTTGGGTCCATTTTCTTCCAGTACAGATTGAAACCATATCTGTCTCTTACGTATAGTAGAGCAGGATTCTCATTTCTGTAACGTTTTTTTTTTTTTATTACATCATGAAGATAAAATTTTAATATAAGTTAAAAAAAAATGATATGTTTGATTCCAAAGTAAATTTTGATTTTTTTTAAACGTTTTTAACCATTAAATTAAAAATTTGGAGACATTTCTGTAATATTAAACATAAGTGCAATGGTTTTGCTCAAAATATATATATATAAGTGTAATGATGTAAGGAAAATGCTAAAATTTGCCAACATTTGTAATATAATGAATAAAATGTTATATTTTTAATTTACCAAAATTCAGTTCTTAACAATTTTAAATATATATAAAAAAAAAATCAAATCTCATAATATAATAGTTTTCTACTAGGTATATGTAAATGTCACGGATTTAAAGAAAAGTCTTGAATCTTATATCGAACATAATAAGAAAATCACTGGGGTATAAAAAGGATCACAACTTATTCCTTGTGAGGTGCCTTGTGTAGGACAAAATCGTGAGGTTAGAGAGCAGAGCAGACAATACTTCATAAAAGTGTGAATCGTAACAAATAAATTGATTTGAGACATCGAATGAATGGATATCCGAATCTAAGAGTCGTACGAATTCGAAACTTAAATCTTCAACTCGTGACATAAATTTATAGGATTATGGTGTATTTTAAGCTTTCGTAAGAAGTGAGGTTTGGATTACATCATTTATAGTTATATAATATCGTTTATTTGGGAAAAAATGTTTTCTTTTTTTCTGAAAAATATGAAATATATTGTACCAATAAGATTTTGTTGGGGGTACATTATAGTACCAATCAGAGAGTTGTCTCAAAATTGTGCTACTCCTTGCAGAAGATTGAAGACAATTCCACAGTGATTCGCTATCACTTTAATTATAGGTAATATAAGTTGTTTAAAACAACACATGTGATTTGCTTTGTAATTACAAATGTATTTTGGCAATAATCCAAGTTTTAGCTCCATGTGGATTGTTACCTTAAATCATATTAATACTAACATTTACAATGATTCGTGATCCAAATCCAAAATAATTCGAGATTGTAACAGTTTTAAATTTAAAATTATTTAAATATAAATGATATGAAATCAAAATGAATAAATTAGACATGCTTAATTACCGTTATAAAACTTGGTAGGCAAAATAATGCACATATATATGGTATCCGTATTGTATAGGTCTTCCATATATGTTATTCACTTAATTACAAAATAATATGCACAAAAAAATAATTCGATGAGTACAAATTTTTAAAAGGAAAAAAAAATCTCAAATACAAACAAAATATGAAAAAAAATCGGATTGGTTAATTCCATTCTATTTCTTGTCTCATGTGGTGTTTTGGTTCCTTCCAATAATTAATAAATCACTATGCCAACTCAATGGCATTTTAAAACCCTAGCAACATTGAACCTTCCTTCCTTTTTTGATTAATTATTCAAAACTTTGGAATGAGTTGGTGGATTTAATTTTCCTGTTTTTCACAGCTTTTAATTTTAATTTTAAATTTTTTATTTATAAAAATGAAAATTACCTGTGATTTATTAATATAATATTAAATATTTTATTAATAAAATATTAATCACAATTTAATTTTTAACAAACTCGATTATACAAAAAAATAATATAAAATCTTTCAAGATAATAAATCAAATACTTGGTTCCTAGCATATAAAACTTAGATTTATTTACATGGAGTATTATTATATTCCACATGCACTCTTTAGAATTAAATAATTAAACTAAATTCAGTTCATCTGTTCACATCCAAAGTTTCTCCTCCTTCAAAGCCTCCAGCTTTTCTTTCCAAAAGAATAATATTACATGAATTTTTTTAATTTTGTATGTAAAAATCCAATGTATCCCAGTCCACCGTTACCATGTTTAAACACCCAGAAAAACTTTCCATCTTAAACCAACATCTGGACCCACTAAGACTGACAAACCCTTCTCTTCCTACAATGATCGAACGGTCCAAAATTCAAAGAGATTGAATGGAAATAGAAGGTTAATTTATGAGAAAAAGAAGGGCTAATCTGGGAATTGAAAAAGAGGCAGAGGAGTGCCACGTAGACAGATGACAATCTGGCATTGGCTCCGTTGTAGTAAGATGTAAACACCTTTATATAGTGCCCAGCTTCTGTTCCCCTTCTCTTCGTCTTCAAGGCGTGCCGATTTGCTTTCATTACTCTCTTTCTCTTTCTCTCTTTCTCTTCAGACAAACCATCAATTTCTCTGTTCATGTTTTCTTTCTTTCATTTCCAACAATTCGAAAGAAAATTTAGACCGAGAAAAAGGAAAGAGAGGTCCTTGTTTTGAAACAGTGGACTCATTTCTTGTAGCAAAAACCTTCTGTTTCTGCTGTCTAATTTGCAGCTTTTGAACCCTTCTTCATAGACAAAAAGAACTTCTTGTTTGATAGTAATTGTTAGTGTCTTTGCTTATCATTTTGTTTGTCCATTTTCCAAAACGAGAAGCCATGTATAGATTTGAGAAAACACTGATGAGAGAAGAAAGATACACGCTTGAGAGGGATAGCCCATCTTTCTCTTCTACTCTACTTGACAAAATCTACCGTTCCATTGATGATGCTGACACGAAACATGAAGACTTGAAGTTCTACAGGGAAACAATGGAAAAGAAGCAAAGCAAAGGTAACATGAAAACCAACAGAAGCAGAGGAGGAAGAGAAGAAGATGAAATGTCGAGTTTCCAACGAGCTTGTTTGATCGAGAAATGGATGGAAAAGAAGGTTAGTGAAAAGGCAAATGCAGACAGGAAACAGGTTTTCTCTGAGTTTGAAAAAAAATCACATCATGAACATGATCATGATCATGATGTTCTTTTCTTTAGCTCCACTTCCAGCTCGTCTGATTCCAGTTCTGGTGGTTTCTCATCATCTGATACTGAATCTATTTATGGTTCAAAAACAAAATCTTCATGTTTTATATCACCAAGGCCTAAATCTGTTAGGACCAGCGTGTCGGCTCGACCGGAGAAACCACTCAAAACAGAGAAAACAGGGAGAACAGAGCGGACTCTGTTTTATGAACAGAGAGAGTTCCATGTCTTTGATGATTATCACTATAATTCTGCCTCTGACCACACACCAAAGCTTGATGAAAGTCTTTTCAAGTCAAAATCAAGAGCCATGAAAATTTATGGCAATTTAAAGAAGGTGAAACAACCCATTTCACCTGGTCGCCGTCTCGCGAGTTTCATCAATTCTCTGTTCACAACAGGTAATACAAAGAAAGCCAAGAGTTCATCTTCAATTGTAAGCTGTGACGATGAAAGAAAAGTGAAGTCAGGACAGGTCTCAAAGTGTTCTTCAGTTTCCTCATTTTCAAGATCATGTCTAAGCAAGAACTCGCCTTCTACGAGAGAAAGGTTGCGTAATGGAGTTAAAAGAACAGTTAGATTTTGCCCAGTGAGCGTAATTGTTGATGAAGACTGTAGACCATGTGGGCAAAAATCCTTATATGAGGAAGAAGAGTCCAGTTTACTGTCGGTTTCAGTTCCAACTGCATGGAAAATTGGGAAATCGCCAACAAGAAAGTGCGAAGAAGAGCTAAAGTTTCAAATAATGGAGAAGACAAGACGAGTGGAAGAAATGGCAAGAGAGTTTTTGAAAGGATATCATCTAAATCAGAAGACAAAGGATTTTATTTCAAGGGACACTCACGGCAATTATGTAGTGGACGAGATGGATGAAGATGAAGATGATGCAGCTAGCTATTCAAGCTCGGATTTGTTCGAGCTGGATCACCTTGTTCTTATTGGTAATGATAGGTATAGAGAAGAACTTCCAGTGTATGAAACTACTCATGTTGAAACAAATCGAGCCATTGCTAATGGCTTGATAGTGTAGTTGATTTTCACATGATTCCAAGAACCAAAATTTTCAGCTTTAACTTTTTTTTTTTTTTTTTTCATTCTAGTTTTGACAAGTTTCATGCAATCTTTAAGGCCAATTATTTGTGTTCAACTGAAATGAGATGCTAATGCTAGCTACCATGTAAAAATGAAAAACAAGGGGATAAAAAAAAAAAAAAGGAAAAGGTGAGCATGGAATTTTGGTTTTCTGAAAAGTAAGAACTGGGGATGCGTTAATTCTTTGATCACGATCTGAATTGAAGAGATACTGACAGTGCCATTTGATTGAACAAGGAAAAAGAAAGAAAGAAAAAGAAAGAGGGGAAAACGAAAGATTCGAGATCGTAATCACAAGCAAAATGAGAGAGAGAGAGAGAGGGAGGGAGGGTGATGGTAAAGGCAAAGGCAGATCTTCGCCCCATGGGAATAGAGAAAGTTGAGAGGTGTGCTTTTGCTTTCTTTCCTTTCTCTAGTATTGGATTTGTAATTTGGATTGGACCCTCTTACTTGAACATTGCGTTAGCATCACCATTCCCTCCTCATACCTTCCCTACTACCAAGACAAAAGGGCACTCTTTTGGCTTACCTATCCCTCCCATCAAGACTTCTCTTATTTATGGATCAAGTTAACAAAAAAGATATCCCATTTCGACACCTCATAAAACCATTCAAAAGATTCAAAACCCAGTACAGTTTGTCGATAAAGTATTGAATTCTTAGTCCGATTCAGACCAAAACCATGGCTGTTACTGTTCATTGAGTCTTTATATTCTAACAACTAAAACTACAATAATTACTATGAACATGAAAAGAGAACATATCCGACTGAAGTTTACAGCATTTATATGTTAACAGGTAAAATGCAAAATATGTCAGGATCAGGAACAAGCATTATCTGTTTTTTTTTTTTTCCTTTTTTTTTCCAAGGCAAGCAAGAAGAAGATGGTCCACAGAATTTAATGGAATAGAGCTATTTCAACAAGAAACAGAGTTATACTCTCTCTATTACAGTTGACTCTTAGGATTCCAACAATGTAAGTGTGCTTATGAATTTTACCGGACTTTCTACAGACAGTTCTTTGTCCAAAAGATTGGAGAAGGCAATAAGGGGAGGAGCTATATAAAGTTGCCAATTATTACATTAATATTACATGTTTAAATCTTTTTAAATTCGTAATTTTTAAAAATTTGATCAACATATTTATGATCGGAACTCACATTCAATATATAGTCTCTTTTATTATGTTATTCTTTATTGGGAAGGGGGGCGGTTTCATGCAAATTTAAAGAGTTGAAGCTTGGGTCCCAAAGAAGGAATCTTACAAATATAGTTATGAACATGATTGAATATGACAACCAACAAAATTTGTTTATATTATGTGATAATACCCTGCTTTTAATTGTTATACGAGGGAACACAATCTTCCTTAGAGATAATGCCATGAAACAAGGAAAGAAGTAAACAAAATATATACTTAAGAATATATATATCAACGTATAATCTTTTTCAGCTTTGAAACAACGGTATATATATACTATACTTCTATAATCATGTTTTGACAATGACGATGCACTTTAAAATGTTACAAGATAAATTTGTAAAGCACAGAAGGAAATAATTTTTTTTATAATATGCCCCAACAGTTACACCTGATTCCCCCCTGCGCACACATAATAAATAGATAAGGAAAACATGAATCCCCCTTTTCTTTTTCTCCAGGAGTCTTTCGTGTGAACTCAAATGTTTTACATAAAAGAAATGAATAATTACACTAATTAATTAATAACTAATAAAATATATCAATGGTCTGTTAATTTTAGTGATATTATAATCGATTTTAAAATTGATCGTATCGAATTTGAATTTCAATCATATTTAAAAAAAATCAAATAAATTATCGATTGATTAAAAAAAAATTAAATAGCTACATATTTATTCAAGCCAGTCAAGCTTCATCCCATCTATATAAAATATATAATTTTTTATATCAATTTTGCTTTTGGCAACCTCCAAAAACTTAGTAATGAAATGTGGAAACATGAAACGGAATAATAGATTAGAGATAATGACTCTTTAACCAACTTAAAACCATGTTTGATGTTAATTAAACAAACCATGCTTTGAAGCATATAAAATCATAAAATACATAGAGAGGGTTACTGTTGCTAGTAGACCAAATAATTGCCTATAAACACACGCCATTAGTACTACGTGATAAGCTTGCAATGAGAGTTTGTACTGCTAAAAATGGGCCTGAACCTCCCCACTATCAGCCGATCGATGAAGAATCTCGCTTAATTAGTCAAAATCTAACATGATCATATGATTAGAAACTAATCAACAAGCTTAAACTACATTTGTTTAAGGCGGCAGTGGATTTGTAACTTATTCAAGAATTGTAGGCGGCTCAGAATTGTTTATTCACTAGTTTTTTTTTTTTTTTTTTCATGCTTCACTTTATAGTTTGAAAATTTTGAAAGTAGTTAGAACAAAAGCTGTATGGATTAATTAATAATTAATATAATGATATCGAACTAATCAGTGTGAATTAACAATCTATCAGCTGCGAACTTGGGGATCATATATTTTTGTTGGGATCATCTTTCTCTGATGAGTTTCATTTGTTAGAGATTCTAGGCAATAGGTGAAGTGGGGAAGAAGTTGATGGCAATGATAGAGAAGAATAATAGTTGTGAAGCAGATGAAGAGAGATCAGTCGAAAGATTATAAGCTAAACCTAGCTAGCCTGAGGTCTTTTTTTTTTTGGGTCCATATAGTAAGCCAAATTTTGGTTCTTTTCAGCTTCTTCATTCCCCTCATGAACGTGTCCCAGTTCTTCTAAGGACTCCTTAGGTCATAATCATCATGTGCTTCCCCTCATGCAGCTATCTTGATTTGTTTAAACCATGTGAGATGAATGCAAAATTGGCTCGGGCTTTGGGAAGGTGAGCCTACTTTTAATTGGATAAGTTCAATTTCGAGCAGGGATTAGACAAAACGATCAGGCCCCATTGTCTCCTTAAGGCTTAAACTATCCTGATCAACCAACAAAATTTGACCAATTCATCTTATTTTGGAGTTAAAGAAATATCATCTTGAAAGAATAGTTGATGCCCACTTAATTAATTCTATTTCAAATGTGGGCAGAGGGTCTTGGGCCCAAGGTGTGGTAATAAATTGCTAATTGATGGAATCGAGTCATGGAGTTTGGAGCATTAGCTTCAAGTTTCAAGTTTCTTCTGTCGTATAAGGCAGGAAAAAGACAAACAAGGGGGGCTTGGTTTCCTTCCAGGGTGTATTCCAATTTCAACTGGTAAAGCTCTTTGGAATCTCATAGAATAACTTGAGCTTTCTATAGTTAGCTTGTTAAATTGACAATCAATTAATTTCTATGCTGCTCTCATTTTTTCTGACGCATACCCATAAATATGAGTATGAAAATTAGATCCTCTCAATTTTTGAAAAAAAAAAAAAAGAAAGAATGTATCATATTAAACAAATATCTGAATTTAACATTCACCTCCCAGCACTAGATAGCTCAATTTCATGATGCTATATTCTTTATTGTATTTCATGCAACTTTGCTTGCTCAACATTAAGAAATTTCTCGTCTCTTCCCAATTCCCATAAAGAAAAAAACAAATCCCCGTTGTTTTTGTTTTCAAATGCTGAGAGAAATTGACATTTCTTTTGGAACTTAACAAATAAGAAGGCAGCAAGATTTCTTTTCCCTTTCTATTCGGTCATTAATTATCAACCGATTTTAAACCTAAAGTTGAACAAACCCCTTTCAACAATTTTCAAATTTTAGAAAAACCACGTAAGAGTTGGCAATGGAATCAGCCAGGCCTGCCTCCGCAACTTGGCGTGGTCCATTATTTTGCTGCTTTTGCTTTGGTAGTAAATGACAAAGATTTATGATTGGCGATCGATCCCAAGATGAGTTTCCATAAGATCCTTGGCAGCTTTTGCTTTTCTCTTCTACGAAGTAAAAGAAGTGAAGAAGATGCTTGAGTGAGGACGATTCTGTTTGATCCACAAAAGATTCAATCATACCAAGAAAGGAAAAATTAAAAAGAGAAACAGCTATATTTTTTTTTAGCTTCTTTTGCATATTCTTGGGACCATACAATAATTTGGCTAGAGTTATTGTCACCAACTTCACGTTTGCAACCATTTAATGCAATTAGTAAACTATTTCAATAATTATATTTGCGTTTTTACTGAATCATTTTTAATAAAAAATTTCATTAATTAGTATTCGTTAAACTTATTAAAGCTATGATTTCAATATGGGATGAGGGAAAGAATGGATACAATAACATTAATTTTCAATAACCTTGCACGCTTCAAAGTTGAAGAGTATGGACCATATCTAATTGTGGTCCAATTTTGTACCCATTCTCCATGAGTTTTCTAGATGACCCCGCCCCATGATCAACTTCATTTTCCTCTTCTTTTGGCATTGGCATAAACGTCGAAATTTGCCTAGGCAGTATCACCCCTCGCTTTGTCACTTACAATCCTAGAAAAACGAACTCTTCCCCCCTTCCGAGACTTACAAGATGGACTCCATCAATCCCAGTTTACAGTTAAGATTGAAACAAACTTCCTAATAAAATTTTCATTGAAAAGGACATTTGACCAAAATTAGTCTGTTGTTCATTAGAAAATCCGTCCAAAACTGTCGTTTAATTAAGCACAAAACAAGAACCAGACCACTTTATAAGCACCATTAACTTTGTTCATGTTTCCCTCCCTCTGCTTGCACTTAGTATTAGTTCTTTACACCATAATTAATAACAAGGGAAAAAAACAACATTAAAAACATAGAATGAACTCGGCTGCAGGCAACCCAGAGCAGAAGAAGGCCACCTTATCGCATTATCAACGAGCACTGGTAACGAGTCCCCTGGTAAAAATAGAAAAGGCTACGACACCTACGCCGTCGTCCAGGCAATATTGCCGTAGATTTAATGATTGTTTCTGTATGGGGTCGGCTGCCGCTACGAGCCCACAGCTGCAGCAGCAAGAAAGAAAGCAACAACGTTTGCAGCTGTCGACCTCCAAATTAGAGCAGCAGGTATAGTTTGGACTTTGGACCACAATTATTTGTTAGGTGACTATTGGGTATAGGCATGGTTATAGTTTGGACCATAATACTGTTCTGGTGTCCATGGGTGGTACTTAAAAAAAGAAAGTTGATATTGATTTTTTTTTCTTTTTTGAAATGAAAAACCATTTTTCATCACAATAAAATGATTAGACTTCTCCTTCAAATGGAGGAAAAAATATGGTTATAAATTATTAGTTTAATTTTAAACTTTTTCAACTTAATCATTGAAAAAAGACTGAAGTCCAAAAAAAATTTTGTAAGTTTTTGTTTTTGGATTCACATGGTATATTTTTGGAGGTAGAGGCTACATGTCAATTTTGTAGAGAAGCTCAAGCTTTCAGGTTGACCGTCGCAATCATCAAAGTGGACTGAGCTTGTTTGGTATATACATATACTACAGCATATAATGCCGGAGAATCTGAATATGAGATCCATTCACTCTGAGGAGCAAATTCTTTACTTTTCTCCAGTTTGGCAAACGCTGTTTCACCTATTGATTTAAACTTTTTTTCAACATTAAAACTATAAACAGATAAAATAAAGGGTTGGCATGTGGCATGGATTGTTTTATGATTCCATTTATCTGTTTTTATTTCCTTTTTCATGTTTATTTCATGCAAGAACGACAACCCCATATTATATATTGCAAGTGGGCCACAAAAGACCAGGATATGATGGGTCTTTAACTTGGGTTAGAGGTTTTGATACAGAGAAAATTATGTGTCTTTTGGGCTTTGGTGAAGGTGACAGACCTTGAAAAGGAAGTCCAGAAACAGAAAGAAATTCTGACCATGTACAAAATGAGAACGGAGAGAACACAAGATAATTTAAGGTACTGTCTTCAAATAGCTCAGGAGAATGGATTCTTGGACCTTATAACTAACAACAAATCTCCCATTTCTCCCGATGTTGTCAATGTTGGTGCCAGTCCTCAAGTGCCTGCCTCAGTTTCTCAGCAATCGGATCTAGGCAAAATCATCAGCCAAGCCAAGATGAATGGATGGTACATTGACCCTGTCGAGGTAACGTCTCTTTGGTCCTTCATTTCTTTATTTACAATACAACTTGAAATGTAAAATGGTATTATAATTGATTGAAGCAGATTGAATTGCAAGAACTGATAGGCCAAGGAAGCACTGCAGACATTTACAGAGGAATTTGGAGAGGCGTTGATGTTGCGGTGAAGTGTATATACCCCGATTTCTTCCACAAAAATGAGAAAGGTGTTACATTTTTTGCTCAAGAAGTTGAAACATTATCTAGGCAGAGACATCGCTTTATACTCCAGCTAATGGGTGCATGCCTCAACCCACCTACGCAAGGGTGGGTGGTGACTGAGTTCTTGAGCATGACACTCAAGGATTGGTTACATGGGCCTGGAAATAACAGGGGAAAAGAGAGGGTGACACCACTTCCACCATTTGAAGAGAGATTGACTAGAGCGGTGGAGATTGCACAAGCAATGCAATATCTCCATGAGCAAAAACCAAAAGTTGTTCATCGTGATTTGAAGCCTAGCAACATTTTCCTGGACGATGCCAAGCATGTCAGAGTGGCAGATTTTGGTCATGCTCGGTTTTTAGGTGATGAAGAGATGGCACTTACTGGCGAAACAGGCAAGGATTTCTTTTCCTTTCCCTCCCAACTGAGTGACGGATTAAGCCACTCCAAATAACTTTATTAAGACATACCGTTGGTGACTCTAGTGACTTGCTCTTGTCCTCTCAGGAACTTATGTTTACATGGCCCCAGAGGTTATCAGATATGAGCCTTATAATGAAAAGTGCGATGTCTACAGCTTTGGAATCATTCTCAATGAACTAATCACCGGCAATTATCCCTATGTTGAGACGAATTATGGACCAGCCAAGGTATTTAATCGATTATTCGTTCGAATATAACATTTTGCCTCATTAATTATCTGTAATCATTAACCTTTATAAGAATTATTAAGAAAAGCATAGCACATTAGAACCCCCCCCCCCCTTTTTCCGTGGAATACTCTTTAATTTTAACCATTCTATTAAAATCTCCTCAAATATTTTTGGTTAGAAAATATTGGGGAAAAAGAAGTCTAGAAAATAAAGTTAGTCAAGAGACTAGTACAAATCCATTTGATCTGGTTGTTGGTTAGATTGCTATGGAGGTTGCAGAAGGAAAGCTAAGGCCAGCGCTTCCAGAAGACAATGGCGAATTAGGGAAGCTGATTGACCTTATTTGCCAGTCATGGGATGGTGATGCTTCTGTTAGACCAAGCTTTGCAAATATCACATCTACTCTGCAAACGATCCAAAACAGAATCAAAGAAAACTGCTGAGTACTCCTCCATACACCATCCGATTAGATAAACAAAATAGCCAGTGTACTAGCTAGTAACTTGTTTACCTGTCAAAGCCGTAGTAAATATATTTAAACATGTTAAATGCTACAATAGTCTCTGTCTACAACAACAAGCGTTAATGTTTGGTAGTCTAAGAAATAGTTGTGATTGCCGCCCTTGTCGTCTTTGGGATTTTGCTTCCCTTTTGTTCCTCGACATTCAGGTGCAATTGTGATTTCCTACAAAAATTTGGGGAACGCATCACAGTTTATAGGGATTATTATTCCGAGAAGGTACTGCTATACGGGGGGCCTAGCAAAACAACGAAATAAAAGCCCATGCTTCACTTTCTTTCATGTTATGAGATAAAAGATTGAAAAAGTCTTGTGGTGTTAAAGAAAGAAATATGGAGCAGATCATATCGTACAAATTAATAAATCACTCAAAGCTGCCTCTCTTTTTATTTGCTATTCTTTTTGGTTGCGGTGATAGGGAAGGGATGGTCTGGACCTTTTACTCTTTAGCATGTGCTATATGTCACATGAACTAATACAGTGTGCACATTAAAACCGATTTTTGTTGTCAACCCATCCAACACAATGCGTCAACTTTTTTCTTTACACTTGTTTCCTTCTTCGTTTATACCTTTTAGCATTGCAAGTTCAATTACCAAAGCATTATCCAAATTACTACTATTAAAATAGGGATAAAGATATATACATTATTATTCAGGAATTTAGGTCGATCATGAAACGAGTTTAAAAGGACAAAAATTTTTCTTTCATGATTAAAGCCTCTCTACTAGAGTTGAGACAAGAGGGTCATCCTTAGTCGCTGCTGTAAATATCTTTTGTTAGTTTGGATGTTACAGCATCAACTTATCACAGACAAAACGGAAATTCAATGCAAAAGAGAGAAAAGGACACATACAAATTCTAGGATAAAGACATGTGAGAAAAAAATTAAAGGTCATTTGGATTTCGAGCCATGCATGATATAAGCGTAGCCACGTCATAAGTAATAAAGTTGCATGCAATGATAAATCTTTTTTTTTTCCCCACCTGCCATTATTAATAAAAGAAAGAAGATAACTCCTCCATGCACTGATATTTTCTAATATTTTGCCCTGGAAATGACTGAAAGTTGAGCTATTGCAATCAACACAATCTCCCCCACACTATGCACGATAAGCTAGAAAAATGATTGATGTAGGCCAAAAGTAGTAGAAAAGTCATGTCAATGCTCAAATTTCTATGCCGGTTATAACGTTTTGTGGTTGTCGTATTGATGCCCAGCTATGGTGTAATTATTTGTTCTAATTAATACGGCATAAGCCACTCCCTGGTGCGTGACGGCTATGATTTTTCTCAATCACCCTAAAGTTGTTGACTCTAAGAAGAAAAAGCAATGAAATAAAAAAACAATACTAAATCGGAGTGGTTTTTCCAAATTCCATGTTTCACGTTCCTCTATTAAAAAATTTAATTATATTTAGCAGAGCTATTTTTACTCGATGATATGAAGTGAATTATTCGTGCTAATTAATGTGACATAAACCAGTCCTCGGTCTATGGTCCATTTTCTTTTTTTTTTTTTTTGTTATAAAAAATTTAGACAGAGGAAACAGGACGAGAACATGTTTCAAACTTCAATAATACTTAAATTAAATTTATAAATACAAAAATTATTCATAATAAAAATTAAATTAAAATTTTATAAACAAAATATTTAATTTTAGCTGATCAAATTTTTTTATAAAAAATACCTTAGTAATATAAGATTATCTTTGAGATTATGTACTTGTAAATTAAATTCCCGGAAATACCCTTCACCTTCGTCTCGTTGCTTCCAGTATTGCCTTCTACATTAACATTATTAAAAATATATATAGAAGGGCCTATGGTCTTTTTGGTCCATTAATAATAAAATAAGACTTCCAGTCTCAGTCAGCTAGCCAGTAATCTTCCTCCCGTAACAGTACTGCTACTCTATGATATAAGCTCTTATTCATCTGGAACCACGAGCATAACTATGGTCAAAAGTTGAATCCCATTTCATTATTGGTTCTTTTTCTTCACTCCATTCTTGACTCTCCCCACAGTCTATTTCTCCATTTCCCACTTTAAACTCTTCAGCATTTTCCATTTTTCTTTGGATACCTGTTAGATGATTTGTTGGCTTATAATGTGAGAGTAACAAGTGCAAGAGTTGATATATCACTGTCTGAACCAAATATCTCTCAATCTTGGTCTTTTTCTGTTGTTTGTTTCTTGCTTTACCATATCTTTTCTGCTTGCTTTTTGCTGTCATTGCAGTGCTTTTTAAGTATTGTAGTCGAGCATCTTGTTTCTACTCTTTCTGGGTATTGTGTGGATGCTTACTTTTTCTGGAAATCTGTATCTTTTTTCAGGTAAAGGCAAAGGGTACTCAGCTCTTTTGATGATGCGATAAAATTGTTTATGATTTTTGCAAAAGTTATAATTTTTGAGTTTAGTTTGAAAGTGAGAGTAATAAGTTGATGACTGTTCATTTTCTTTAAGGAGCCATTTATTGAGCTTTAATAGCTGTTAAGATCTCATAAAAGAAAGGTTGCATTTTTTAGGTGTAAAATTTCCTCTTTTATTCTTAAATATAAATCCGATCCTTTACTTTATAAGTGGAAGCCGACTTCTTTGCCTAATATTTTTACCTCTTGCCAGGGTTTTGATGGAAGCTAAAGACATGTCAGAGAAGAGAAGCACTGCAGGAGGAGAGGTGGTGATTCATGTTTCCGGTGAAGAAAATCCAAAGGGGCCAAAGGGGTCTTCTCCAAAAGAAGCAGAGGCATTGGCCACTAAGCTAAATGATCAAGATTCACCCAACAAAGCATCAACTGAACCTGGTGCTGTTACTGCTGGTTTGGCTAAATCAGTGCCAGCGAGTAGCCCGTCTTCGGAGACCACAAATTTTGGTCCAAGTGTAAATAAGCCACCCAAAATCCCAAGTTCAGGTAATGAGCCTCCCTTTTGTCGAAAATGGTCATTGGCAAAACCCAAGTCAAGATTTGGGGAACAATCTTATCTTCTTGAATCTGATCAAATGGAAGAGAACATTTTAGCTAATCAGGAACAAGTTGGTGTTAATTCACCTTATAGACACTCCTTCAATAAGGCCTCCCCTAATAACAAGTCTACGAGAAGTATTAGGACAGATTCTGCTGTGTCGAAAACGTTATCAATGGCTTCTACAGGCCCCAGTGGAGATGAAATTGAGGACATAATTAAGAAAGTTAAACTGCATAAAGAGAAGCTTAAGGGAGTGAAACCTAAGGTTGTGATTGAGTGTGTCGTATTTTTGCTCCTCCTGGGGTGCTTAATAGCTAGCTTAACTGTAGATAAACTACAGGACACCCATATTTGGCATTTGACAATTTGGAAATGGTGTGTACTTGTGATGGTTATATTCTGTGGTATGTTGGTTACTCGTTGGTTTATGCATCTTGTTGTTTTCTTGATTGAGCTTAACTTTCTGCTACAGAAGAAAGTGCTCTATTTCGTTCATGGTTTGAAGAAGAGTGTCCAGGTGTTTATTTGGCTGAGTTTAGTTCTTGTTACCTGGGTTATTTTGTTTCTTGATTTTAAGCGATCAAAGGCTACCACAAAAATTCTCGATTATGTAACCTGGACTCTAGTAAGCATTCTCATTGGAGCATTTTTGTGGTTGTTGAAGACTTTGCTGTTAAAGATCTTGGCTTCCAATTTCCATATGAATAAATTCTTTGAGAGAATACAAGAATCAATCTTCCATCATTACGTGCTTAAGACCCTTTCAGGACGTCCACTTATGGAGATTAATGGGATTCCAAAGGCGCCAGCTCATTTGACTGTTAGCAATGCCAAAAAGGGTAAGGAGCAAAAACGAAAAAGCTTATTGACATGGGAAAGGTCCATAAATTGAAGCGAGAAAAAGTTTCGTCTTGGCACATGAAGGTGTTGATAGATGCTATCACAAATTCAGGGCTTTCCACTATCTCCTATACATTAGAGGAAAGTGCTTATGATGAAGGTGGCGAACAGACCGATAAAGAAATTACTAGTGAGGAGGAGGCACACTATGCTGCTTATAAAATTTTCTCAAATGTTGTCCGAAATGATGGTGATCACAATCACAAGTGAGAAAATCAGCTTTTCAGGAAGCTTCTAGTGATTTTGTTTTCCAGCCAATTTTCCTTTTTGTCTTACTCTAACTATATGCTCTTTATGATCAGTTACATTGATGAGGATGACCTCTCAAGGTTCATGATTAAGGAGGAGGTGGATCTCGTGTTTCCATTGTTTGAAGGATCAAGCACTAAAAAAATTTCCAGAAAAAGTTTCACAAACTGGGTGGTAAGAACACTGTATGAAACTCCAATAAATGTTGAGTACTTTTTTAAAGTTCTTTTATATTTTACGGTGGGGTGGGGATTTCCATGTAAATAGCAAGTATTAAAGTACTTTTAGTAATCCAAAAATGCAACAGTGAGTATAAGAAAATTTTGCTGCTATCATTTTCTGGAAGCCCATATCCCGTATGTTGTTCTCTGGCTTATTTGACTATTAGATCCAGGAAGAAAAGAATGTTACACGTTTCTGCTGTATTAACATGAACAAAATTTGACTACTCTTGGCAACTACATGAAGGAAAGATAATCCGACTTCTCTAGTGCTTTTTGTGCTTTTGATTTAGAATCGAAACTTTGAAAGTAAAAAACTACTCCTTTTCTGGAACTACATATCTTTGTAACGAAATGCACCCCGTCACATATGACTTCATGGTTGTAGTTTTTGATGAAAAGACTTTTGATTTGGACATAAAATGCAGGCTTTTAGATAGAGAAAGATCTTTTTGTTGTTAAATGCACTATGCCTCTGCGATCTCATAGTTTTGAGTTTTGATGGAATAAACACAAATCCTGACATTTTATCTTGCTGTAGTAAACCCAATAAGGAAAACCTTCACAAATGGTAGGGAATCTTTGATTAACATGCCTGTTTTTGTTATTTCATACAGATCAAGGTTTACAATGATCAGAAAACACTAGCACATGCTTTGAGTGACACCAAAACAGCTGTAAAGCAATTGAATAAACTTGTGACAGTGGTCCTGATTATTGTTACTGTTATCATATGGCTTCTTCTGACGGAAATTGCGACCACAAAAGTGCTTGTTCTCATTTCATCACAGCTTGTAGTGGCAGTTTTTATGTTTGGAAACACCTGCAAGAATATATTTGAAGCTATCATATTTGTATTTGTGATGCATCCATTTGATGTTGGTGATCGTTGTGTGGTTGATGGTGTTCAGGTAACTGTTGAAAGGGCATGTGTCTGTATATATGTCTGGAAAAAGATTACTAACTATGCTTATCACTTGGTAACTGACAGTTGTTGGTTGAGGAAATGAATATTTTAACCACCGTCTTCTTGAAGCTTGATAATGAAAAGGTGTACTACCCAAATTCAGTTTTGGCTACAAAGCCCATCAGCAACTATTACAGAAGCCCTGATATGGGTGATACTATAGAGTTCTCCATTGATTTTATGACCCCAGCAATAACGATAGGCAGGCTGAAAGAAGAAATAAAGAAGTAAGTTGACGGTAGCTTTATACTTCCTTTAATTCATGTGTAAGATTGGATTATGTGAAAATCAAACCTTGCTGTAGTTCCAAGCAGGTGTCCTTACGCTTTGACAATTTAATTGACCGAAATAATTATCAGAGGACTAAAATACTTTTGCCTTAGTCTGGCCCTATAGATCTTAATTCCCCTCTCTGAGCTAAATGTTCTCATTGTTGCTTGTTGCATTGGATGGTGTTCTGGACCCTGTAGAAAGGGTAAACAGTCTGATTCATTTACCAACGTACTTTTCTTTGTTAGCATACTAGTGCAATGGCCTTTTGATACATCTATCTGTTTTAGTTGAAAGGAAGTAGGAGAAGAGGCAGAGCTTTAGTAAGCATTTAACTCTGACAAGATAAAATCTAATTGGAATAGTCTTTTAAGCTGTCAGTTTGCCCTGCATCTTAAGTTTCCTGAAAAAAAATGCTTACATAGTTCTTAATGCAGCCAAACTATGAAAACCCTTATCTACGGTAAATAATAAAGATAGGAGCACATGTAAACTGATAGCTTTCTAGCCAAACAAGCAATTGCTATTAATTTTTTGTATTGTGTTTTGATCTCGATAGTAGGATTCTTATTATGTTTATGGAACTTACGATTTTGCATTCCAAGTTCATGTTGTTCTATATTACTTATATTTTTTGTGCTATCAACCAGGCATTTGGAGGCCAATAATACCCTGTGGCATCCTAACCACCTTGTGGTGGTGAAAGAGATTGAGAATGTGAATAAGTTAAAGATGGCTCTCTATTGTAATCACACAATGAACTTCCAGGACTTCAGAGAGAAGAACAGGCGTAAAAGTGAACTGGTCATTGAATTGAAGAGAATTTTTGAGGAGCTGGGTATAAGATACAACTTCCTTCCCCAGCATGTGAATCTCAACCGAGTCAATCAAGATAGGCCAGACGCAACATATGTGACCGCCTAATCATTATTGCTTTTTGCTCAAGAGTGTTTTGTATGGTGGTAAGCATGCCCATTTTACTCCTCTTTAACAAGGTGAACTTATGCAACTCTGAACAATCATCAACATTACCAATCCCTTTTTTTTGGCATGATAATAAAGTAAAGGCCACTAATTGTAATATTTGGGCCTCAACATTCCTTATATCAGCATTGCTTTTCAGCTTAGATTTAGATGTGTGCTCTTTATCTGATTTGCATTTGTTGAATAAGTAATTCCAGATTTCGAATCATAACTTTTGAGGATTTAATCAGTTGAAACTTTGTATATAAGGGATCCCTTTGAGAAGAAAATGGTCACTCACTTACTTGTGTTGTTTGTGAAAGGGGAGCAATATAAATTATGGGTAGTTGAATCTCATCCTAGTCGACTTTTGAATTAAAACTTTATGGAAGACAGCATTCTGGGTTCTGTCATGCTAGTCACTAGTCAGTGATATGAAGCAATTATTTTATTTCATCTTTTGAAAATGTGTGCACTCAGTTCTCATGGTATCTTTGTTTCAACTAGAGATGGCAACTGGCAGAACTTTATGGGAGCTTTGGCTAAGAGTGATAATGAAGCCCTTTAGTTGTGGTAACCTAACATGGATGAGGGGAAAATGGTTCCGCACAAGACGTTCCAGGTGGTAAATATAATATATATATATATATATATATTATTTTGTCCAGTAAGATTCTGAGATGTAAGCTTATTATTGTATCTATGGAATTGAAGGGTTAAAGACCAATGCTATGTAGCATTGTGGTTTGTTTCAAGTTTTCCTTATTAAGATAAATGTTTTAACTCTTGCGATATTTCAAGTCTCTGATCCATTATTCATATATTTGTCGGGAAGAATTCATTCTCTGAAACTAGTTTTCTATGTGAAATAAGAAGTCTCACCATTGGACAAAAAGACCTGAAGTAGTAAATGATATATTTCTTGTTTGGACGAGTACTTTGCTTACATCCAAGGTTTGTTGGCTAAAGACTTGATAGCTTGATTCACTAGGATGGCACCTTGTCTTGGTGATTGCTCCGCTACTCTTTTAGTATTAACCCCTTGGAAGTCCTCTGCTAGTCTCACAAATTTGGAAAACATTCCAGGAAATTGTTGTTATTTGGACTGCAGACATGAGATTGACCCTATCATAAATTTGGTAAAACGTGAGTTTGTTTAAGGCTGTTATTTTCAGTGGCAGAAATCCATTCCATGTAACCTCAATCCAGTAAGATAACCTTATCCATTAAACCCAGGTGTAGAATTTGCCACAAGGGACAGCATCAGAATACACGTCAACCTCAAATCTTCAGCGTCCTCCATTTCTCCATCCGGCCGTAATTTTCTTCATAAACCAACGCCAAAGTCCAAAACTATTACCAATTACAATCCACGAAGAACAGGAAAAATAAAGATCAAATTAGATTTAACCACTATCTCTAAGATCTATTTACTTAAACAATGTGATTTATTTATTTTAGAGACAGATACCAATGATGAACATTGGAGATGTGTCTTAAAAATTAAAAATCAACATAAAAAAGATAAATTGATTTGTGGTTACAATTTCGGTAAGTTCAAATCGAACGAAATAAATTATATTATCTTTGAAAAAGAATTATTAGCCATAAAAAATTGCATACAACGATTTCACATCTATTTAGCCCCGAAGATCTTTGTTATCCGAACAGATAACCAAGCAGTCAAAAACTTTCTCCAAAATAAAAAGCTTTCTGATAATCCCAGGCGAATTAGGTGGTATAATTTTTTTTGTTCTTATCATTTTCAGGTAGAGTTCATCAACGGAGATAAAAACCTCCTTGCAGACTTCTTAAGTCGACCACATGGATCGAGGAAACAACCTATCCATGATACAGGTGGATGGAGAACCGTCAAGAAGAAACCAAGTAAAAAGTCATCTTCTTCTTTTTCTACTCCTTCTTCTCCACGACCACTGATCTCTACAAATCTTAACCCAGGATTTAACTTTTACAATAATCCTAACCAATGATTATATCTCTACCAACAACCTCTTTATCGACCCCCTTTCATGAAGATTCAACCAGAATACTCACAATTTGCTCAAGATCCAAACGATTGGACACCTATGAGTTATTCTCAAATAGTTTTTTCAACAAAACAACTGCTTGAAAGAACAAAATTCTTAACCCAGAGATTAAAGATTTTTACAACCTTGGACTTGAACCACAAGTCTACAATTTATTAAACAAAGTTTGAAATCAAATCTCTCAGAAAATAAATCCAGCTTTCAAAAAGGGATAACCAACTTAGTTGAGTTTTTAGTCAATCAGACTAAAGAATTTTTGAATTTTAAAAAAATAGCTTTCCAAAACCTTCTATCCACAAATCTGCTAAAAAAGCAAGATATTGATTTCTTTGCTTTGGAAGAAAATCAGTACAGTCTTCAAGAAATAAACAATTTCTTGAAAATATTTTGAAAAAACAAATTATGTTTCCTCTAAGCTAAACAAGCTTAAGAGAATTCTTCTTTTCGAAAAAGCTGCGGTATTCTTAACTAAAGAATTATTCCAGCAAATTAATTCTTCTATTTTATAGTCAACAGAAACACTGTTGATAGAAAATTTTTTTGAATATTATACTTCTACATATATTTATAATACTTCTTTTGGTGAGTACATACCTAAACTTAAGTTTCGACTTGATCATGAAACTTTTGATGTAAAAAGGATTGAATTTGATTTAGTTGGACAAATAATTGTACAAAATTACTCTTTTCACCTTTTAAAAAAATTTTCAGCTTTTATTAAATATCACTTTATTGAATGTGTAAAATGGTCAAAACACCTTTACTACATTCATTTTACTATATTAAGTCTTTTGGGTACCTTTCAAAGAGAAAGATTTTATCAATCCTACCAAATATGAGAATTTGATACCGTATCCGGTGGACATTTTTTTCAACCTCTAAATATACTTGATCCACCTATAGACCACATCGAATTCTCAGATGATTTAAACAAAATCATCTCTAAATATACCAACCTAAACTCTTACCACTTCCAAACAAGAACTGACCTTATGGACAAAGCAAAATTCTTTCTCCATTTAGCCACAAAACCAGACTATCCAAAAATAGCTTGCTGGACAGATGGCAGACGTATTTTTGTTATCAAATTTCTGAAACCACATGACGATCTTGATATAAAAAATGCCCCAGAAGCAATTGAGCTTTTGAAAAAATTATCAAAAATGAAAGATCTTGATCATCCGACCTACCTATTATACCAGTATCAAGAAGGATGACAGATGTGAAACAAATCATATTTCGGATCTCTTCAATCTCTCCAGTCCCTTAACGTACTGGATGAAAAATTTTATAACTTAAACAATGCTATGGAAGGATAAACTGTGCATATTCTAATCCAGGGTAAGCCAGAATCAACAGCCGACACAAAAAGATAAAACTCCATTCGACGTCAACGACTAGCAGACATAAAATACTATAGCAGTCAACTGTAGCAGTCACTGTAGCAGACAGATAAAATGTCACTGTAGCAAAAAAAAAAATAAATAAAAACCTATTACGAAAGATACCGTAGCAAGTCACTGTAGCGGTCTGTAGATAAAAATTCTACTGTATATTGTAACGGTAACTGTACAAAATTACTGTTCATAGGTTAAAATTTTTCTATTTAAAGCCTCATTGTATCTAAGCTCGAGGAGGTGAAATCTTTAAAAACCCAATCCTTTTTCTTCTCTCATATTTCCATCTCTTTTTTTTTTCTTACCTTTTATCCTCCACTTGTATACAGATATACATATATAGCTTTTGTAATCCTTTATACATAGATCTTTTTCGTACCTTTCTTATAAATGGAATCAGAGCTCTAAGCTTGTACAAAGGTTTGCTAAAGCTTATATTATAGATTCAACAATAAAGATATACTTGTTACTCATCTTGTAAGATTTTCTTCACTCTTACTTGTATCTTCTTCTTAAGCTCTTTGTTTTAAAGCTCATATGTGTATATCTGAGTTGTGGCTAGCTTTGTGGCCTGAGTTGCCTTTGTTGCTAGCGTTTTCAGAACAACACACTGATTTTAAGCACCAAAAAATGGAAACTTGTGAAAAAAATTCTTGTATTTGTCAAGATAAATCTTATAATCATGATTTACATATAGATCATAAGTATGAATCTAGTAATATTAGCATAAGTAGAACTGTAAATGGTTTAATAGATTTAACTTCTTCTTTTTTCATAAACTTTTTATAAAAATTGATAATATAGAAGATAAAGTAGATATGCTTGTAGAAAAGATGGACTAAAAATATGTTCCTCAAGACACATCAACAGATTTTAAACCACTTTACTATGGCAATATTATGATGAACGATGATAAACCTTCATCTTCCTTAGCAAAAAAAAAACAAAAACAACTTGATTTTGACTCTTATAAATATATTGTTGAAAATTTTAAAGATAAAATGAAAAAAACTGATGATCCGAAACAACGGATTGATTATCTTCAGGCAGTTGAGACTCTTTATGAAGAACATAAAGACCTCCTTATTAAATATAAATATTATTATATGTTTAACTATGACACAACCAGTGCCAGTAGTAAAAAAGCAAATGATGATATAGTAGATGATAATTTAAAATTCTTGCTACTAATCTAGTAGTCAAGGATGAACCACTTTCATCTGATGAAATCACATCTGATGAAACTGAAAGTTCTGATGATCAACCAGATCCAGAACAAAGTGAAATTCCTATCCCTCAAACAGAAGCACGTGGGAAGAGAAAAGCAAAAGCAATATCTAACCCAAATATTGATGATATAAGATGTTTTTCAGATTTATTAGATCCTGATATAATAGATCAACATCTTCCTTATTTAAAAAAAAATATTCTCTCCTAAACAAGGATGAGATTAAACAAACATCTTACTCTGGCCAAACAGGTCAAGTTAAGATAGCAATCCCTGTTATCGATTCGTTAAACAGTCCCTCTTAAAGACAATGAAAAAATCATAGACGATTGGGCACAATCTATGTTTATTGTTGTCATAGGTTACAAGAAGCAATTGAATAAAGAAAGATTCTTCAACTACTTTGTGGCACATGACAAGGTGATGTCTTTTAATTTCTCAAAAAATGGGAAACTATAACCCTCGGAGAATAGCAGAAATCAACTCTGTTAGTCGCAGGTAATATACCTCAACTTTTGAAAGATTTAACCTAAATCTTAAAAATATGAGTTTTGTGGTAGTACAAAATCCCTGGATCCCACTCAAGAAGCTCAATTTATTTTATCAAAAATAAAATTATGTGATATTAAGTATTTAGATGATTTTTCTAAAAAATATCTTTTTGAATATCAAAAATTGGATGAAAAACATTCAAACTTTTGGTTACAACAATATTTTCTCAAACTTTCCTCACCATGGGATGAACTATGTTCGTAAAATTACCCAGTTTACCTTGAGTTAAAACTCAAAACTGTTCATGTTGCAAATCCCAGCATCAAACTTTATGATACTCTTGGATGTAGAATACACTACATTCAGAATCAGGTTACCGAATACTGCCTCAAGCAAAAAGCTGCTAAGCAGGTAAAATCTAAACTTTCGTATAAACAATGTACAAAGATTTTGGAAAATGAATTTGAATTTGGTTGTAATGAACAATCTTTTTTAAAGAAACATCGTTTTAAGAAAAAACAAAAATATTTTTGAAAAAAGTGGAAACCCACAACTTTTAAACCTAAAAAAGGTAAATTTATTGTTAAAAAGAAGAAAAAATCTTCTAAAAATAATTGTAAATGTTTTCTTTATGATCAAGAAGGTCACTATGCAAATGCTTGTCCTAACAAAGAAAAAGTGCGAAGAAAAT